CCAAAAAAACAAACAAACAAACAAAAAAACACCAAACCTATAAAAGATAAAATTCTCATCTGATAAACTTATAACTTAACTTATAACTGACATGACTGTGGGATTTGGACCCTTCAATGTACATAACCTGAATCCTTTCATTAAATATGTAAAGAATGAGAATTTCGGTGCAGTTTTAAACCAGATTATTCTGGTAACAAAGTAAAATATTAAGAAAAAATTAAAACGGGAAAAAACCCCAACAACTGTACCCAAGAGCACTGCTTCTGCTGAGAGGAAAGCTTTGAACTACATGCACAAATCTCCAAAGTGTTCTCCCTCTTACATTTCACAGCAGAGGGATATCAAGACTTTGCTCCTGTTTTCAGTTGCATTGCTCTATGGAAGCTGGATTGTCTCCATATACTTCATTTGCTTTCTCTAAAGAAGAGGAAACTTGTTTGGATTTGAAAATTAAACCTTTTTGTCACCTACCAACGTCTTGAATTGTCAACAATGACCCCATTGTCTACAGAAAATGCATCAGTTGGCAAACCAGCAATATTCCAGGCTCTGATTTTTATTGGGTCACCAAGATTCTGACTCAAAGAGAAATCCTCAGAACAAGGGATATTTTTCTCCTGTAAGAGAGAGAGAAAAAAAATTTCTCTTTATTCTGTGTTTCTTTACATCTTTTACTACACACCACTTCAATCCAGTGACGATGTACATTTCCTTTTATGAGTCTGAAGTAGGTCATGTGTAAGCAAAAATCCTGGGAGGAATAAATCCATGGTTTCAATAACTAACTGCATTTCCTCACTGAATATTTACTCTGTTGATTTGCCCAGTTTTTGGTACATTCTAAATGTAGGGGTTCTGTTACATAAAGTTTTGACAATGGATTACCTTAAGAAACTCATACAGAGCTGCAAATAATCTAATTAATGTGTCTTCCATAACTCACTACAGCAATCCAGTGCTGATTTGTTACTGTTTAAAGTCACAATAAGTGACTCCAAATCACTTGATTTATGAATTATGGCATTTGTATAACTATGTTGGAACTCTCCCTCAGTAAACAGAATAAATTTAATTGACACACGAATAGGTGATGGTGGAAGTTACAGAAATTCTTTTACATTATACATAACTGCATTTTAAATGTAAATCTTTAATTTAAAAGCAAAATGCAGAAAATACTGAGATTTTACTTAAGCAGTAATCAAGCCTTACAAAGTCCATGATGTGCTCTCACTTCTGACGTGCTACTGTAAGTGTAAATGCACTGGTTTAATTAAATTCAAATCCAAAGAATACTGGATCAGCAGAATTGATCCCATTAGTCTTAATGAGGTTTACTAGGCTAACATTAAATAAATGGCAAGGTATTTTTGGAGCCTTTTGCAGCAGTCTGAAAAAAAGCAAGCACTTATTTAAATCTAAGATAACCTTCTAACCTGACACAGTTTGCTCCAGTCTTTGGTACATTCTTGTCGAAATGCAGCAGTAAAAGCTCCCAGATATGCTATTACACCAGCTGATACCAGAACATCACCTGTCAGATTATCATATTCCTCTTGAAGATCTTTTGCAGCTTTATCCCATCTATGACAAGCAGAATATACAGAAAAAAATGGTGCTGAAACCTCCACATTAATGACATTGATGTTAAAACAACTCTTAGTTGTTATTGTTCAGCTTCAAGTAGAGAATATAAAAACCTCATTTATGTATTTTATTCTCATGATGAGGAATTTCTCTACAATTCTCCCAATGTTGCTGCTCATAATTTTACATTACAAACAATTAGGAATATTTCAAGGTCCCAGGCATTCTTAAGCAGTACAGTCCTCAGACTGATATACAGCATTAAAGGTTCACAGAATGGAAATTCAAATTCTATTCCTACAGTGGTTGTTAAATCTGACATTTGAACTTTAACCCGACCTTGTTTTCTCTCCACCAAGGCCTCCAATCAACTTCTCTGCTCGTTCCAGTTTTTTGGCACACAGCTCAACCTGGAATTCTAAACGAGCCTTTTCTTCAGTCTTTTCAGTGAAGGTTTGTTCCAAAGCAGCCAAACGACCTTCAACTTCTGCAAGTTCTTCCCTCTTCTGATTCAGGAGTGCCATTGTCTCTGCCAGGGACTCCTCGGCCACTCTCAGACGCTCCTTCTTGGGTTCAATCTCCTACTCAATCACAACAAAGACACAAATGTTTGGAGTGTGGTTCTGTAACTTAATATCAAATCCAGTGCTCAGGGTGAACATGCTGAGCAAAGGGAGGATTCACAGCACTGAGGGGCTGGGATCACAAACACACCTTTGACACCCTGTGATACACTTCCATTCCCTTAATCCACTTGCACAAACCCTCTGCTGCAGAGGAAGCTTTAGCCACCACTTGTGGGTCAAATTCTGGGTTGGTCAAGTATTCAGTCCGAATTTTTTGCATGACGGCTTCCTGGGTAAGGAAAGCATTAGAGCTCAGCACAGTCTGGGGGCTCACACTTGGAAATCAAACTGTAACAGGAATTCCACAAGAGAGACCCACTGAAAGCTACTGAACACCCAGGAACTACAGCTTTGGAAGCCCTTCATTTAAAGTGCCCAAGGCTGGAAGGATATTTTGAGAAATTATCATATGTAGTGTTCCCACTCACAGAATCATAAAATATGGGAAGGGACCCACAAGGATCATTGATTCCAGCTCTTGGCTCTGCGCAGGACACCACCAAAAATCCCTCTGTGTGCCTGAGAACGTTGTCCCAGTGTCTGATGAAGTCTGGCAGCCTTGGTGCTGTATCCACTACCCTGGGGAACCTTCTGAGACGTCATATGCAAAGCTCACCCTGAGGAAGTTTGGCTCACATGCCGTGACCACACCCATTCTACAGAGATACCCCATCATGTTGTATCAATCCCTGGTGGTAACAGAAGCTGACTGGGTTGGACAAATGAGGTCTCTAATACAGTATTTCCTGATTTTTTTTTTTTTTTATCCCTATAAGAAGGTGTTTCCATGGTAAAAATCACTGAAAAAGCCTTACTGGAAGAGGGCTCTCAGAACAGCTTTTCAACTCCCTTAAGAAACCGATGTTGCCAAGCATTTTCTGGCTTGTACTCCAGTAATCCAAAATCTATGGAACACAGTAGGAAATACCTTTTCAGGCTTTAAAACACAGACACAAACAAAAAATTGCAAACCTCTTTTAATTCAAACTCATGCATATCTAATACTGATGACCTCGTGTCTCCCTGAAATAAATAACAAAGCCAAAAAGTCCACCAGACCAAACAATTCCTTCAAATCATACTTAAAGATAAAAAGTAAACAGGGTCTCTGGGAAGTGATGTATTATCTATCATCAATATGTGAGTCAAGCAAATTAAATGTGCTCTCTTGGCACATTACAAAATTTGGCAAACAGGGAATTCCGAAAGCTTTCAGTAGAGTGATGGACAGAGGCCATAAGTAGTTGCCTACTTTAATGGACCCTGGGGGATCTTGTTTATTGTTCAAGTGTTGAGAAGAACACAAATTACATTTTTACTTCCAACTGCCATTTTACCTTGCCTCCAGACCCTGAAGGGTTTGCAATTTTCTCAGGTTTCTTTCCCATGATGACACAGACAGCAGCCATGACAAGTTTGACACCAGATGGAGGATTTTTCATTGTTTTGACAACTGCTATGTCAGAAGGCTAAAATCAAAAATACATGTAGAAAATTATAACAAGTATTATGTCTTTGTCACCACTCCATAAATGAACTGAGAGAAACAAAGAGGAATTATAACACCATTACCAATGAATGTAACTGATAATAGAGGACTTTCAGAAAGGATGAGACAGTGTTAGCATAACAATTAACAACTAATTCAGCTGAAAGAGGAAACGCAGCTGATACCACTGTTGGTCATCTCAGGTTTTGGTTACTTTTCCCTCAAGTGTGTTTTTCTGCAAATAAACAGTTTTTTAAATGCTCAATATTCCGACTACATAAGAGGAAATGAGCTGAACAACAACTGTACAAGGTCTCTTCTTTGCCAAAATTGAGGAAATGTAACTTCAATTATTTTCATTTTAGTGCAATCGTTCCCAAATAAATGGAAGAGTTAAATAACACTTTCCAATGCTGAAGTTTAGATCAGCTTGCCTTCAAAGTGTCAAGAGCACCAATTGCAGCCTCCAGGACAGGTATTGCCTGTGCCAGGTCACTCTCACATTCATTTTTCAATGCCTGAGCTTCTTCAGCTTTTTCCGTAGCAATTTCTTCATCTACTTTTACAACTTTTCTTTTTTCTTCTACTTCTGCAGATTCTATTTCTATAATCTAAGGAAAAAACACATGAGGAGGATTTATGTTGTATCTTGGAGTAAGAATGTAATTTTCTTTTGGTTCTAAGGATATAAGCAAAATAATGGCAAGTTTCACAATACTGCAAACTCCTCTAAACAAGAACTGAGCTTAAAAGCCTCAACTCCTATTTTCTGAAAGTCACCTATCAGTGACGTCAGTACACACATACTTACATTAAAAGCCACAAAGTTCTATCTGTATAACTCTACCTTCATCATGTTTGCATTTTCCACTTTAGCCTCCTCCAGTTTGGGCTGCAGCTGAACTAGTTCTTGTCTCATCTCAGCAACCTATGCATATGCAAAAGAATCAGGGAGGATTCAGAAGGGTCAAGTACAATTTACAGGAATTTCTGTAAAACCTAGATCTTACCTAATGATTAATTTATTGATAGAAGGATGTAACAGCTTAAATTAAAACATTCCTGAGACTTATTTTTATCTCATACATACAACATCTGATTTTAAGAACTGTGTTCACTAACAGTCACCTGTTAACCATCTAGGAAAGGGAAGTTCTGCTCATACACTGTTTGGCAATGTATGCTTAGACATTTATGGCTTCTAGCACAAGGAAAGAAAAGGTAAAATACATTTCTTACAGTTTTACTGTAAAGACTGAGTTAAACAAAATCTGCAGTTACATGTTTGACTGACTTCCCCAGGAAAAGACCCGCATTTGACAAACATTTTCTATTTTCAGTTCCATATTTGTCCTACCTCACCTGTAACTCAGCAAAAGCTAGTTTCTCTAGTCCATTCACATATTTTTTCTTGGCTTTCATTACACTATCTCGTTTCTCAGTAAGAAGTCTCTGAAATGCAGCAATAAGCTCAAGGTACGAAGTAGGAGTAACATAATTGTGGCGTCCCAGACTTTGCAAGAACCTATTAAAAAAGATAAAAAGCTAAAAGTAACTTTGAGTTTTGATTTATTTATTTTTTTTAGTTTATTGTTGGCAAAGTTATGTGACTGTTTGTTGAATAATAGGAGGAAACAATTTCAACAATTTTATATGATGTTTTTATGCAGGCAAATAGTTCTGTTAACTTTTAACGTAGAAATGAGCGGTAATTAAACTCAGTCACCCACTATTTTATCGATTAATGGTTGTTTTTGTAAGAAATAGACTGACCTTTCAGAGAGTGCCAAAACTGAAGTATGAAAGTATTTACAGATGGGCACAACTCCCTGGCGCTCGGTCTCTGTGAGCTCAAGGGTTTCTAAGAACTTACTGGCCACACGTTCAAGGGCATCTTCAGGCCATGGCTGAGGGAGAAGCAAGGAGAAAAGAATTTTTAAAATCCAACTGTTGGCAGTCTTCATACTTAAGCATCAATTTTTACCATTAAAACACCACAATGAGGCACACTATGAGGCACACTAGTCCCAGCTGTGTCTGAAGAACAGTGAACTGATCCAAGGGTAGCTCAGCCAGCAAGGTCACCACCCATGCAGCATCTTCTGGCATCTCTGGCCTGATGTCCTAGGTCAAAGCTTCACAGTGTCATTCTATTCAATCATTTCTGTATCTGTTGTCATCCTTTGGCAGAAAATTGACATCAGCACTGGGCAGAGCTCTAGAGCTCACTGTGCTTTAGTGAGAGCGATTCTGCTCACAGGAAGGGTCATTAACTACAGGAACTCTGCAGGTTTTATTCTGCTATAAAAGACCTAAAGATAAACAGCAGGATTTGTGTTTGCTACTCATTCCTACGATGAATGATCTGCTTAACAGGCAGCAGCAATCAGGATCATTTTACAGTCACACTGAAATGGTTTCACTAACCCTTTAAAACATAGCCATTATGTAATAAAATGACAAATTGCCACCATGAAACTAAGATTATTCACTACTTCAGAAATCTGTAGGGGTAAAATCTAAGTTTATTCAGTTGCAGAAACATTGAGATTGCACATCAAAAAGCTCCCAAAATATTACAGGAAATGCCCACAGTTTTAAAATTCTGAAAAACAAGGAGCACTTCAATAAAGAAGACAAAAGAAAATCTAATGGGGCATAAAAATACAGAGTGTTAGAAAACAAAAGTAGCTCTTTGAGGAAACAATACAAACATTTTCCCCTACCTGGAACCAGTCAATGGTACAGCAGTTGATGAGGGATGGGAACTGTCTCAGGCGGTTGCGGAAGGCGTCTCCGATGGGGCTGAAGGCCACCACAATGTGGAGATTTTCCTTGCAGAAGTTCACAAAATATGCAAACAAGGCCAAGGGACTGAGTTCTTCCCCTTTGCTGTCAGTCTGAACTGCTGCACGAACACCCTTAAGGATAATGCAGAGCATAAAAAATGTTCTATCAGTTCTCATGAAGTCCATCTGAAGTGCTGTAGCAATCCTGTTAGTGACAGCATCACCGTGAAATGAAATCTTTTATTATCAATGAAACAGGCAAAATGAAATGGAAAACCAGAACAAGCAGTAAATACTCCTTGAGAACACAACTATGACCCTGACAACTCACTCTAGAAATGATCATTATCTTCTGCCTTTGAGTAGCTGAGAATAGGTCAGAATAAAACCCCCAAATCCATACCAAGATGAGTTTCAGATGGATAAGACAGGCTAAGATGAGACAGAAGTTTAAAACACATTCTGAAAAATCAAAATGCATTTTAATTATCTCCCTGAAGAAATCAAAGTCCAAAGCTTTCAATGATAAATAATAACAACTTTTTTTAGTTTTAATATTGTAAAAAAATATTCTGTAGTTACCTAAGTGGAGAGGAAGATTTAACTTTCAAACATCAAAACATATTCCATTAATTCATTTACCACAAACAGTAATCTCTCAAAACAAGAAGAAATCTGTAAATTGAAATTAAAATCTACTTCATAAAAGTATTATCCTCAATTAATTAACAATCCTTGAAGCACTGACGATAAAGCCCTAAAACTCAAATTACTCTTGCAAAGAGGCATGTATACTTTACATAATTCCACAATTAAAATAAATTACAAAAATTAGTTTAATAAAAATGAAGTGGAATTATTTTGATGGAGCAGATTTAAATGAGTAAAAACCAGCTTTGCTACAGCTGGCATGTTATGGGTAGCTACCAAGTTCTAGGTAAACCCATTAAATATGTTAATAAAAACTAATTTTTTAAAAATTTGCCTGAGTACATTGCACCTTTACTTCTGAGCTGAAATTCATGGAGCACCTCTGCCCAGCTTCTCTCTGAGAAGTGTCAAGACTATGAAATTTTGTCTAAGAGTGTCCTGCTGCCATAACCAGGAGAGTCCATTGACAAAGGCAGGCCATGTTTTCTTATAAAAATGTCTTTGCCCTTAACTGTCTAATGAAAACATTGTGATGTACATTCTTCTCCTACCCAATCACTATAGAAATAACTGTGCCCACAGGGTATTAGTGAACAATCCAAGTTCTCTACATGCACAACTTAATGGGTTTGTGAACAGAATGCCAGGGCACAACTGAAGTTATTAGTTGGCATAAACTACTCCATAAGTTTACTTATGACTGCTTGATTTATCCAAGGTCTCAAAAAGAAGTCAGAATTCAGTGCAAATATCCAAAAGCCACAATTCACACCAAATTGACAAAATAGCTGAAAAGGGAGGTGAAATCAAGAGTTTCTAAAGATACCTCTGTAATTTCTTGTTTTTCATCTGCTGCAAAAAGATTGGGTACCTCCCCAGTGTTGAGGACACTGTCAACATCTTCTAAAAAGCTTTCTTCTTTAATTTGTGCATCTGTGATTAGAAATACAGTTTTCAAGCCTTTTACACCTGCACTCTTCAGAAGTCTCTGAAAACACACGACAGTTAAAATGTTGTACATTCCGAAACATCCTTCCTCCAAACTGAGGCAAAATGTGGGCAGGTTACCAATACTCACTTTCAGATCTTCTCTCCACTCGTTTGTACCATAGGTCTTAGAAATCTCTGGCTGAAAAACCCACATCCTTGCCATGAATGCTGCCAGACGAGTCAAGGACTGCCGGCCACTCCCTCCCATTCCAACCAGCAAGGCATTGCCCCCCGGCTGCTTCAGGACACGGCTTATCCGAGACAGGTGTTCCAACATGTACCTGCATTTGATCACCAGAATGGCACAAATACATTTACATTTGTGCACCTATAAAGCTGTGAAACAAATAAAGGAGTAGCATCTCCAAAGGAAATTTCTGAGTGTGAGGTGGGGGGAAGTGGAGAGGAAGAAGAGAGAGAGTGGGTGTGCACCACAAAATAAAATAACAATTTTTCTATTATGCAAATGTCAGTACTTGGCTAAATTACTACAAATTACTAAAAGGAATAGGCAGTGGTAAGAACAGGAACACTATAAGGATAAATGCAACAAAGGAAACAAAAATCAGCAATTTTCTACTTCAAAATCACAGCAGTATTACCAGTTCTAACTTTCTTGAAGTATAACAGTTTAAAGATCTTTTTAAAGAATCCAAAGGGGAAAGTGGATTACATCAACAAACATCTCCCTTCCCTCTCCGTCTGACAGTGTTTTATAACTTATATGTGAAATAGACATTGGAACAACATCTTCAGAAAGCAGGACCTGCACATTTCTGAGAGTCCTTGTGGAAATACAAGCACAAGTTACCAGGGAATGGGCAGCAATGTCTACAGGACATCACCTGCTGAGGCCCAGGGCATGGGGGAATTCAAGCAAGCTGAGCAGCGGTTAAAAGTAGTTTCCAAAAAACTTGCAAGCATTTCAAGAACGATAAATTCTTGTTTATTTTTACTGGTTAGGAAAATAAAGGAATCAAATCCAGATGTTATTCATGAGATTGAACTCTAAGGCTACAGTCAAACATGCTGTCCTGGCTGCTGTTCAGCAAGGCCACTGGGCCATTGCTTCTACACTCAGGAACTGGCCTCTGATCAGAGGCTGCCAGCCCTTCAAACTCCCAGCCTGGCTGGATACACAGGTACTCACAAATCCAGCTTGACAAAATGACCTAGACTAAACTAAGTTGCTATTAGAAGAGTTTAAATTAATCTTAATCACATTCACAAAGTCTCTCTGCGTGTCAAGTCATGCCAGCAAATAGGAAGAGGCAGTAATCTCCAGCAATGCGGAGGAAGAAGGATTTGTGACCTCCTGATCTGTGTCAGTTGTAGCTCTGATCACAAGCTCGGGTGTCAGTAGGGGCCTGCAGAATCTGGAATTGCCCAGGATTAGTTGCAGCACCAGCTGGGTACGTGCCAAACGTGGGGCAGGGCTGGCTGTGCAACAACAGAGCAGCCAGCCAGCCATGACTATGCCCATCCTGCTCCCAGAATCCTTGGATTTGGGAAATGAAAGGCCATTTGGGAAATGCTGCAGGCAAAGCTGATATCTGTCTTCACTAGTAACAAAGGCCCAGCAGAAGTACAGCACCCCCCTGAACAATGCACAGTGTTTGTGTAACAACTAAAGAAAATATTCAAATCTCCTCCTTAGGAGAAAATTTTCTCATTATTTATTTTCAGGTAGAAAAAACAGAGGCATAAGAGAAAAATCAGTTTATTTCCATCCAAAAAGGTGTAATACCACAAACAGTTTTATGGATGCATTAAGGGGAGGAGACATACCATAACCCACAGTCCACAAAATTGAATATACTGAATAATAAACTACTGCTTAAAGCTCTTAATAATACAGATCACACCCACCTGAAAACAACAAGGTTCATCCTTGTTTTCTGGGTTTGATTATATTCATCCAGACACTGCTCCACAACATCACTGAACTCCTGAATGCTTGGAACTTCAATATAAAGTCTTTCATCTCCCTCAAGTTCTGGAACCATATAATCACCAAAACACAAACTTCTCATGTTTTCTTCTGTTACCTAAGGTAAATATTGAGCAAATTATGAAGCCAAATTTAATATTGAATTCCTCATTGGAATTTTAGAAAACAAAGGAGAATTTAGACAAATACCCCAGATATAAGAAAAAGCACTTCAAAATATTTTGACTCACAGAAAACACCCACCTCAAAATTCTTAATTTGTTCTTGGGAAACAATTGGCTCAAACAGCCACTAACAATCTCATAACCACAAGCTTCAGAGTACACCAAACTTAATCAGAGGTATATTATGAAATGGACAAAGTAATTTCCCCTATACACCAATGAAATTACAGGGGAAGAAAAAGAACAAAAAAACAGAAAAAAGGAAAACAAGGTATAAAATATAACATGATTATTCAACATTTTGAATACTAATCACAGAATGCTGTTTGCCACATGGCAACTCAGTCACAAACTAAATTTAAAGAGAGAATGTCTCCTTATCATGTAAATCAGGTCTCTGGAAGTCCATTTAAGAGTATCAAGAGAATCAAACTTTCAAGCACATTTGATCCGAAATTTCACCTGTGATTGAGAAACTTCCTAGTCCTAAATTTATAAGAAAAGCCCTTATTTTGCCACAGGTTAAATGTGATACTCACAGGCGCCTTTCCTTCCTTCAGGTGTGCAAAAACTGAGTCAAATGTTTCTTTGAAGTGTTCTTTCACAATATCTTTCACTAGATTGAACAGCCAGGCTCTATCATCATCTTCCACCAGGCGGTCATAGAAGACACGAAACACTTCATGGACAAACAGCCGAATCATGACAAGTTTGTTTTCCACGGAGTTTTTCTTAATGAGCAAACAGCCGTGGATAACTCGGGCAAAGTCCCGCAGGTTGAATGTATAGTGAGATTTGGCTGGTGTGGGCAAAAGATTCTTGATGGCTTTCTTGTACACCTTCAGATATTAACAACAGAGAACAACAAAATCAACAAAAGAGTAACAGCAACTGTGAAACTTGAGCCATTTGATCTTGCCTTTGAGGCTGCTGAGATTTTCTGTCAGAAGTATTAGCCCCCTAATGCCTTTGCATGGAGGATACTTATGGTAGGCAGCAGACTGTTCACAGTGATTCTGCTACACAATGTGCCAGCAGAGCTGGACTTTGAGATTTGTGTCTGTAATTAAATACTCCTTTTCAAAAATGTCCCAAATCACCATTCCTTTTTCATGCCCATGGTACATTGCAAATGAGATACTCACTAAAATCCGTAACATCGAACTTGACAAATCATTTAGGAATTCCATACAGCTGAGCCCAGTGGCTTTGCCTTTCACAGCATTTCTGTGACATTTTGGCACACTGGAGTCACACCCTAAAAAGCTTCATGTAGAGCCAGAGTTCTTCAGCCTGCTGTGATTAATGTAAACACTGAGAGAAGAAGGAGGAAAGTGGGGAGGGTGCTTTCTTCATTCTTGGTCTCTCTGAGGAGGAATTTTGGAAGGGTTGCAACTGATACTTTCATTTTGTCATTGCAGGTGACAGCTTCCAGTGCCTGTCAAGCCCCGAAGAGATTCCAGTCTCACCTGCATGATATTATGTGGTGCAAGTACCACAGAACCCAATTTAACACAAATTCAAAGATCCTTTTCCTAGAATCAGAAGGTTACTACAATAATAAATACTCAGACAACTTCCTCAAGGCACATGAGGTTGTATGCTAAAAAGAATAATCAACAAAATACTTCAAATCTCTGCTTCACCAACTAAATTATTATGGAGCCAAATGAACAAATGGAAGGAAATTTCCTTTATGTTATTTGCCTCTTACCTCTAAAGTGGCAGTGACAATTTGGTTCCCGACTGTGGAGAAGTCAGAAGGAAAGTTGTTGGCCCTCAGGTAAAGAGCTACCACGGTGGAGAAGATGCGGATCATCGTCTCGTCACTGAAGGAATTGATGGTGCAAACGTTGAAGTGCCGCAGGAAGCGAGGAGTGATGGGGTTCCTGCCACCCCCTGGAGGGCCCATGGCAGCCAGTAACTGGATGTCCACAAGGGTGATTTTCGAGGTGTCCTTTAAATCATACCTTCAAAATGAAATGCAGTGTGACGTTTAGATACAGATATAACACCTTTGGTACAGTTTAGATGCGCTGATGTTACAGACTGCTCTCTGCAGGCATAACAAGAGGTAAATAAAAATGTTTTAAAAATAGAGTATGGAGTAATATTACAGATATTTGTATATATTTCATATTTTTAAAAACAACCCTCTCTCCCCAAAAAAATGAAGATCAACTAGTCCTTTAACTATTTGCCAGTCAATTTCAACATATCAAATGCTGGTCTGAAAGATTATTTGTTTAAACTGGGTTACATAAAACCTGATATGAAATTTTGACATGAATATTAAAACTGTAATGTGGCAAGATAGAATATCTCTATTCAAGAGTAACAGATATCTGAGCAGTGCCTGGAATCACAAGAATAGCTGAGAAGTGCCTGAAATGATAGAATAATCCAGACTGGAAGGAACCTCCAATTTTCCAATCTAAGCAAAGCCTCAAGAGCAGGGAAGACCTTCAGCTTATTTTATTTCATGCCTATTACCAGACTTGATTTCACTGTTACTTTTAAAATAATATTTTGAGATTTGTGAAAAAAAATGTTGATGACTAATAGAATCACAGATGATAGGAAAAACCAATGTAAGGATTAAAATAAAAAACTTTATATAACTGCACATATATATATATATATATATATATGTATAGAAAACTGCCAACTCACTCTAAGAAGCAAGAAAAAGGAAAAGAACAAAAAACTGCACTGGAAAAATAAAAACAATTAAAACACAGACATAAAAAATAAAATCAAGGTGTAAATGAAAAATTTATTTAATATTAATATTAATATGTATTTAATATAATGCTGCTGAAGGTCAGCAGTAAAACATTCTAAAAAACTCAAAATTGATGATCAATTTCGTAAAACGAGAAGTCCTTAGACAGCACTATACACGTTGCTGCAACTTTAAATAATGTGTTTTTATATAAACTAAATCTACCTTAACATTTACAAATCACAACAGAAAAGTTTTGAAAATAAAATCCAAGGGAATAAATAATTATAACAGCAAATGCAGCCAAAAATGTCAATTGTATTTCAAATAATTACCAAAATCCATGGTCAGAGAACTGTCTTAAAAGCTCTATAGGAGGCTGTGCCCCATACTTCTCCAAAGCAGGCATGTTCATGTCATCTACAAAAATAATGCACTTTTTTCCCATGGGAGGGCCAAAGACTCCTTTGCGCCTCTTGTCCAGCCTGGCCATGATAATGTTCTAGAATGCAAACAGGAATATAAAAAAAAAAAAATAGATTAAATATTCACATACTTAATCTGCTTGAAACTTGACTTATCTGTTCTACAAACCTGGGTCTGGTTGGCACTGGTTCGAGCTGAGAAGTTAATGAAGAAGGGGAAGTAGAGCTCCCTTTCCAAGTTGTTCATTAACTTGTCCTTGACATACACAGACTTCCCGGTGCCTGTGGGTCCCACCAGGAGCAGTGGTCTGCACAAAGAGAGAGAGAAAGCACAGGAACTGCAGAAACCCGACACTGCAAACTAAATGCAATTAGAAGTCAAAGGTTTTACTAACTTGCCCTTCTTGTTCTAACTCAAAAAGCATTATATGCCTAAAGAAGAAACTGAAGTCTTTTAACATATCCATTAAACCCTCTCATAATTTCGGTTTGCTGCCACCATCAAGAAAATAAGAAGAGAAAGAAACATTTCTCATTTCCTCATTCTACTGGTGGTGGAGTACATGAACATACATGGGAGTTATATTTTTCCTGATAGGTCTTGCATTAGTCCAAACTTCATGAAGCTTTCAGCTTTGGAATTTAACCTGAGGTTGTTTTTTATTTCACTTTTTTATATGACCATGGCTAATATGATTGATTTTTATATGATCAATCGAGGGAAAAAAATTAAAATAGGTATTTATTTACCAAAGAAGAAAGAGGGTACAAACCCTCTCTGGGCTGTCCTAACAGCATCATCAGAATGAGAAGACTACAATGAAATAATAATAAGGTTTCATAAACATACCAAAACCAGATTTTAAGATAAATTGTATTGTTTGTAGTAAATGTCTATTTTTAAAAGGCCAAATAAACTTTGAGAGTTTGATAAAAACAACAAACTCAAGGGAAAGAATAAGAGATATTTCTACCTATGACCAATACTTCAGAAATTTGTATTGAAGTAACTCACTTTCCATGGGTAATGAAGAGCTCTAACAAATAAGTATATCGAACTGTGTCCATAGTTGGGACTATAATATCTTGAATCTTCACATTTTTATCACTGGAACTAATTTGTTCAATAAATGCATTCCAATGAACCCAACTTCCTTGGCCTTTCAGCTAGGAAGAAACACAGATGTAAAATAGATTGGTGATGTACATATGAAAGGTTTTCTCTACTACTTCACTTTGAAAAAACTAAAATAATGAATTTTAATAAATTAGTGAATGTTCAGTGTTTCAGAAGTTCATCTAGTTTGCTTTACCTCAGTAAAAGAATACTTTTAGGTGTTAAAGTACATACCTAGACTTGGGTTCCTTTCTTTTCTTAAAAATTTGGTTCGGTAAGACCAAACAAACAGTCAACCTCACACAGAAAACCACAACAAAAACCAAGAGAAGAACATATCCATTAGAAATGTCTTTATAAACAAACTTGTAACATAAGTAAACTCCCTATGTGCTTAATATCCTGCTTTGCTACTGGACAGTCCCCATTATTCCCTCTATATGAAAGCAGATTTGGGTCTGTCAGCTTTGCTTTAGCTGCAGAGTAACTATAACATGGCACTTTGACAAATATAACTGAAATGTATATCTTGTTATTTCCTAAAAAAATTGGTCAGTACCCAGGTATTTGAAAGTGAAAAAGGAATGAAAAATGCACTGTGGATTTAATCCAACAGCAACACTCTGAAACACCCAAGAAGCTTTGTAAAGTTAAAATGTGCAGCTAAGTTGTATTTTCCTTCCCTTCCTACTGCGAGGATCTATTTAGTGAACACAGAAGCCACCAGTCCTACCTCAAACACGTAGTCATAGACCAAGCCTTTCTCTTCAAAGGGACACTCCCATTTCCCCACACTTGCTGGTGCAGTATCTGCTGCAGATTTCTCAGACAAAATGTCCCTCAAGAAATTATCAAAAATTATCCTGCTGTCACCATCACAAATCCCACCAATGGACCAGACTGTGGCAAAAGCAAAGCAACCCTGCAAGGGCAAAAAGATTAACAATTGTCTAAAAAATTGGCATATTGCATGAACCTTGTACAGTTTGATTAACAAACCTAATTCTGAAAGATACTGCTAAGCAGAGGGGTGTTACAAATTGCCTTGGATAGCCTTGGTCTAAAGAGACTTACACATTTGAGTAAAGACAGAGCTACAAAGGTCTTACTCAAGGATATGTATATGGCAAAAAATAAAGGCCACTGAACTAAAACATGGTGTCTCGTTACAAAGCCTGAGAGGAGTTCTAATCACAAACTAGGATCTAGGAATTTTCTAATTCAATTTTAAAGAACTACTTTTACAATCTATTTCAGTTTTTCCTAAGAACAATCATATCAGGTCAGACAGAGGATCCAACTATTCTAACAGTCAGGAAACACTCTTCCCAAGGAAATTTTGCACAAACAGCCAAGCCAATAATTGTTACATGAACTTTTACTTCATTTAAGGGAAAGAAGACACTTTTCTTTAGTTAATTCCTTGGTTACTTAAAAAGCACATTTAACAGAAATACTACCCCAGTTAATTGGAAAACCAGTAAAATTTTGGATCATATTTGTTACTTGTAAGACTTCTGTCTAATCCGGGCACCTCCAGAGTGTGGGGAGAGAAAGCAAGTAAGTAGTGAAATTGTTTTACATGCTTCTTATTCCCAAATGAAAGTGGGTTTGATTAGTACAACTGCTTTGAAAACCAACATCTGCAGAAATAAATATACATTTCTCTACAGATTAAAAAACCAACCATGATCCAGGCACGGATGTTTTTGTTGGTGGGGTCCTCTTGCACAGCTGGACAAATCAACATTTCAAAAAGCCGTGTGAGAGCTACTACAACATTGGTGTTGCTTGTAGGTACCAGTTCCTAAGAGATTCAGAGGGCTGTGTGTTAGACTGACGTGCTCAGATAATTTATCTTTTGGAGCTAAAGCACTAAAAGAATTAGATCATTAGCTATTTCTGAACAAATATTAGAAGGCAAGGTATACACTGACTTTTACTCAAAAGATCATTTACTCTTCTCTATTCCTGAAATGTTTAGTTTGTTAACCACATCCATGTGACAGCTACAATCATACATCTTAAAGCAAAACAAACCCCAGATAAGTAATTACAGTAACACATGAGCACTGGCACACCAAGTTCCCAGGGAGCTACATATGTTTCCCCTAACACTTAAAAAAGTACTTCCATATTCAACACATCTTTAGAGAAAAAAAATATGTACATAATTCTCTTGGGAAGACTTTTTATTCAGTGTTTTAATTTCTTACTTTACTTTTGAAATTCCTATCAAGTTTCAAGTCTTAGTCAAAATTTTCATTTTAGCTTTCCAAACTGGTCCCAAGAGCTGCCTATTGATTCTAACTGTGCTTGCCAGGAGAGAGCAGTCGCTCCCCACCAAGGGGAACAGACTGGGAATGGTCAGCAGCTACTGCAGGAAAAAGCAGCAACAAATACCTTGCACTTTTTCTGACGGACTTTTAATGCCGGTGGAATCAACCAGTCAAAAAGCCCCTGCAGAAGATCTTGATGGTCCTTTGAGTTCAGAGGTTCAGGCAGTTTACTCAGCCAAGAGGTAACAAGTGGTCCCCAACCCAGCTGAGAAGGTTCCAAATAAATCATGCCACAACGACTGACAGTAGCAGGCTAAGGGAAAACAGTAAACTTGGTTTATTGTACATTGAATATACTGAACTTTGTTTTATAGTTTCATTAAATACAAACTTACTGATGCCTGGGAAAGATCCATTGTTTCAAAAATAAGAGTCATCTGAGGGGACATTTGGATGACTTCCCCACTCATCAAACAAAGCTTAAAATAAAAAAGAAATCACATGCAAGATTAGAAAAAAAATCAGTTGTAAATTACATTTCCTGTCGCAGGAGGGTTCTATATGAACATCAGAGAAACCAAGTATAACCAAAGGTAAGATCAACCACATAAAATGTTATCTCACTTGTAGCAACAGATTTGAATCAAGTTTCAGCTAAATTCTTCACTTAAAGCATTGTACTCCATAGTAACCTACTAGTAGGTTCATTACAATCCATCTTGTGTATGACAGGGTAAAGAAAAGGCACAAGGCATAAAGGAGAAAGAACATCTGCTCCTATTGTTGCTAATACTGGAGCATTCCAGCTGGAGAACCGCCGCTCCTACTAACTAAAATAAAAGTCCAGCTTGAGAAATTTGACACATTATTATCCAGAATTTACAGATAAATTGTTTTCTCTAATTTTTATATACACTTTGAGATTCCTAAGGCACATTTGCAAAAGTGTTGTAAGGTTACAACTTTGACTTCAGAAGCCATTATTTTGAAAATACAACCCTTTTTATCTTGGGATTGTCTTGAAATGTGTCTGAGTTTGTGCAGGTTTAGAAACTATGGGATTTACATTGAATATAAGTCACTGCAATTTTTGAAATTTAAATTTCAATTATGTTACAAAATTACAATATAACATTATGAAACAGGACATGAAATACATTTAATACCTTTCAGCAATGAGTTGATTCTGTGATGATGATTCCAATAAAGTAAAACAAAACAAACAAATAAAACCCCAACCAAAAAACACCCTAAAAAAAGCAGCTTACAACTTGTCACCAGCGCCACCTTGCCCTTGCTCTTTTCAAATGCCATGCACTTTAGTTTGTATTTGGGATTTTATATGTAGAAGAACATTTTCAAAATGTCACATTGTTTTATTTAGGCCTTGATTTCCACTGGCTGATACCTTTTTGTTGTCATCCAGCACCGTGTTCATGCTTTCTATCCACAGGGTGTCGATGGGGCCGTCAAAGATCACCCACTTGCGCTCTGGGGTCTCAGACAAGGCGAACTCCCTGAAGGTTGTAGCGACCACACCATCTGTCCACTGGTGGGGGTGGATGTGGGAGTGGGAAGGGAGACAAGGAACAGAGAGTTCAGGTTGAGCCTCCAGTCACAGACACCCCTGCCTTTGCTTTCCATTATCCCTCCCTTTTCATTCTCTCTTTTTCTGCAGAGAGCAGCTCACAACTTCACAGTTTCACTGGGGGTCTTGGAACATCAGCAGATTTTAAGAGTGTCTTTTTCACTTGAAAAAAAATATTGTGACAAAAAATACCAGCAATTCAATTTACTGAAACTTAGAAGTGCTTCTGTTCTGCCTTGCATCAGTTTCTCTCCAGGGTCACCCTAAGTTTTACTATTTCACATTCACTTCTCCATATTGTTCCCTCTCCAAACTCAAGTTTCACACATGAGTTCATAAATTTTTCTACACAGTTTTTGCACTACTTTGATTATACTGGTTTAGAATAGACAGAGGAATAAATACAGTTAAGTCTTGTATGATTTCCTAGCATGGATGCAACCATGTTAGGATGATTGCTCTTTTTTTATATATATATATTTAAACTTATATAACTGCACATATGCTTGCTACAGCATTTCTATGTACTAACTAAAAACAAGCCATAAAAGTATTAGTTAAAATAAAATTTACAATTGTGTTCTCATCTCTGTTTAAAATCTTGACATTATGAATTCAACAGTTTACTATCCAGAATAATGGAGGTCTGACATCTGCAGGAAACACTATTTTTTGAACATACATTACCTCATGGGATATCAGATCAAACTGCCCAAAAAGTTGACCCATAGTGATCGATTTTGGATTCATAGTTCTAAAAATTACTTTTTCTTCTTCACCATAACCACGTTTTTTCATAAGAGACAGTGTATCTGCCAGCACATGGAGAACTTTGGTCTTCCCAGAGAAAGGTTCCCCTACCAGCATGAAGCTGTTAGATGGAAAAAAACCCTGCTATTAATAAATTTATCTTCCAATTTAGACTTTTACAGATCACATGAAGGCCAACAATATTAACCATATACTTAAAGCTAATTTTCACCTAATTTTCAAAAATCAGAGCAAGTAAATTTATTTTGGATATACAAGACATCATTTCAGCAAAACCAGTTTATTTGCACATGCACTGTACACATGTTGTCCTCTAAAACTTAGATTTTATGACCACACTAGTTCAATTATTTGCTGAATGAGATTACTTTTGAGTTTCACTTCAATGTAGACAGAGTTTATAACACTGGAAGAACACAAACAGGAAAATTTTGTAGTCACCCAGCAGAGGGATGTGACTATAACAAGGTCTCACAGAGAAGATTAACTGATGAACATTACCCATCATATGGTTAATGTCATATTGTATACATTTTCTCCACACAGTCACTATTCTGTAATAAAAGCTGGGAATAAAATGGCACAGATCTGATAACTAATATTTTAATATAGACAAACTTTTACAGTCCTAGGTCCATACTGATATCAGCACCCAAAATAACTATACACGTGAGGCTACTTCTGATATCAAGAAGAGAACAATTGCCCAGACACAGAGGCACAAGAATTTTGGGACATTAAAAGTAGTATCAGAGATCAACTGTGCCAACACAAATAGGAACATTTTGCCACCCTTAAGATGTTCTTATAACTTCATATAAAAAACTGCTACAGTACAAATGATACTGCTGTGAAACAGTGATGAGAACCTTACCCATGTCTAACAATCATCATTTCATATGTCTGTATAATTTTCTGCATAAAAGTTGTTACAGGTTGGACATTATGTTGAATGCAACATTCGTTGGCACATTCCAGAAAATCCTGAAATCAAAACAGGTCATAATCTTATCATTGCTGCAATTTAAATTACTGTCTTGGACTGCAGTAGAACAGTCTATGCTTATCAGTAAGGGTTTCCAATTAATAAATAACTGAAATACTACTAGTCAGAATAAAGCAAACTTCCTGGAGAAAAAAAGTCACTTCTGTATTTTATGTGCTAGAACAGGATTTAACCACAGTTTCTATCTCAAGGAGAAGACCTATCACCATCAGCAAACCAGAAGTATGCTTTGGAACAGTACACTTTAATCAAAATTGTAGTACTAATTTAAAACTTAAAAGTTAATCTATTTTGTCTTTTCCAACATACTCATCTTCTTCCCAACCAACCTCCTACAAAGGAGCCATGCTTTAAGTATTGATATAAATAAAATACAAACAGAAAGCTTAATCTCATTTAATTAGGTCCAAAAACTAGGAAAGAAATCAGTCAGAGAGCCTAAAATTTGGTAAATCTGCAGGTTAGTTTCCAATCTGTAGGACACAACCCCTCTGAATGTAAGAGAACTCAGATGTAGATTATACTCAGACAAAAGAATTTTCTTTAGTATAAAGTTTCACTGCAAATATGCAGCAAATTTCCTCATCTTGCAATAACTCACTGAATTAATTGCACTTGGTTAAAAAGCAAATCACCATAAACCAACCAACAATGACCAAGGAAAAACTACAAGAGCACTTACGTTGTAGTCTGCCTCAGGAAGCTTGATTCCAGGAAATAAATCACTGGTTATACCCATGAACAGAGGTATATCATGGGACAAAAATTTAGGCTCATTCACATCTTTAATGGATCTAAGAAGCTAGAAGAAACAAATATACATTTTACTATTCCTATTAACAAACAGAATGTTCAGCAACTAAGATAATCTAATACATAACATTAATTCATTAAGTGGTGCCTTTGATAGGTAGTTAAGCCCAACTGTGCCATTTGTGTATTTGATTATCTTCATTTCACAAACTAAGAAACACGGATCAGTGATGGGGCAAGACCTGATGCAACTTCCTTCACAACTGTGGGCATCTAGAAAATTCCTTAAAGAATTATTCCCTCAGGAACTCACCAATATATCTTCATCTTCTGTGGGAAATTTCAGCTTCAGATTCCCAGCAGCCACCAGCACAGCCTTGACTGCTCTCATGCCATAGTCATAGTGGTACTGGGAGGAAAGCTGCTCTGAGCAGAGCCTGTAGGTCATCACTATCTTCACTGACAGGGATTTAGCATTCAAAAATCCATACGAATAGAGTGAAATCTCTGCTATCAGAGCATAGTTAGGAACCATCATGGCTACTGTTCGGAAAAGGACCTGAAATACATACCCAAAGAAAGATCTTTAAATAAATAATTGAGGAATGGGAAGTAATTCAGAACTTTTACAGGTGTTGGATTAGTAGTAACCCCATTGTGGCATTTCTAACTGAAAACAGTAACAGCATGTTCAACTAAGTACTAAGACACTGACTCTCTCAGGTTTTTTCCCTCATCACTGTCTCAAGAATGCAGTTTGGCCCTTGCATGGATACATCCAGCACAGCAGTAAGGAAGGAAAATATGGTCCATGGCAGGTGAGAGGATGCACTTCCTTTCCTTAAGCAAACTGCAGTTGGTGTGCTCCTCATGTTGCATCATCTCTGCTTTCAGTTAGCAAAGCCTCCTCAGTGGAACAGCTCTTATAGTCAAAGCAATCATCTCAAAGGTCATATTTCATCAGATAATCTAAGCAAAGGGGATAAAGTCTGGATTAATACCAGCAATACCCAGGCCCTTCAATTTTTTTGGAAAGGCTCATTCTTAAACAGAAGCATCTATTTTATTATTTTACCTTCAGATTATCTGGAAGTTCAGAACGTCCTGCATAACCTGGATTCATAGTAATAGCTATGAAACAGTTGGGGTTAAGCTTCAGCTCAGTTCCTTCAAAGAGAAATGTTTCTTGTTTTGTCTGGATGGCTCTCTGGATGCACAGGATCTGCTGGGCCACCACAGACAGGACTTCAAGTTCGATGCGATTGAATTCATCAAAACATGCCCAGGCACCAGATGAAGCCAAACCCTTGAAGAACTGCAGGTGAGAAAGAGAGCAATAATACTGGTACAGAGCCTTGGAAGATGGAAAAGAAACTAAGAGTGCCATGTTGGGACATGGCACACATACACAAAACAGACAATTACGATAATACTAATAAGCCTATTTAGATCACAGATCTGTGAGGTACTGAAGAAAAAAATTTTTTCTTGGTTCTAAAGAAAGCTAAATCAGAAGATCCCAATCCCATGAATTCTTGTTTTCTTCAAGTTTTAATTAGCAACTTAGTAGGATTTCATAAAGTACAGAAAATGAAACATGTAGAGACCAGTATGTAGCATCCAGAGGTAGCAGACCACAGGTGTCACATTTAAGTGTCTCTGCAAAGTAGGGACCCTACAATTTCCATCCTAAAAATAAAATACAAAATATATTTATTTTCTGCTTACCTTTCCCATTGCCAGGTAATCAAGGCCATCAGAGCAGTTGAAGACAACACACTGAACAGCAAGGGCTTTAGCCAAATCTTTGGTGGTCTCTGTTTTACCTGTCCCTGCTGGACCCTCCGGTGCACCACCGAGGTTTAAATAAAAGGCTCCAATCTAAATCACAGAAATAGTTTATGGAAATTATACTCCAGCAAAGAAATGGCAGTAATGACAAAATGACAGTGAGAAAAGCTGTATCTGAGTTGTCAGGTTAGCTGATGATAAACCAATACAATAATAAACACCTCTGCCAAGAGCAGGGGTACTAAAAAGTTACCAAACTTGTACTACGCTTAGGAACAATATCATCACAAATGGCTCCTTCTTCACTTAGTTTAGCAACCACAGAACATCAGAAAAGCGCTCTGTGTTCTCATAATCTGTACAGCAATAAAATACTGGGGTTTTTTTCTATCTGTGTTTTAAAAAACCCACATCCACAACAGAATAACCCGCAAATTTTTCGACCAGCTTGGTGGGCCGTCCAGATTTGTTGTTATGAGTGAGTTTCTCGTCCAATATTCTACAGGAAGTTAACGCTTTGAAAACCTCATTTTAGCAGCAGTAGCAGAGTCTGAGAGCAGCTGTAAGCCCTAAGAGTCTGGCTGTATGAACACTGGCAGGAATACTCCAGCACACAGAGGGGGCCATACCAGGGTGCGGTAACACCTGTCAGTGAGGGGAGTGATGACGAGGCGGGGGGAGTTTCCCAGGTATTCGTAGGCGTATTTGACGTTGCAGTTGATGATGCAAACACGGACGTTCTCAGACTGCCAATAGTATCGGAGCTGTGCAAGCCACTGGAAGTCTGTCTCGCTCTGCACACCTAATGAAAGCAGCCGTAAAAGACATTTTAGATAAATGCATCTTCTGTTACAGATAAATTTAAAATTGGTTTGAAATTATTAATGTTGGTGCTCATATCCAAATACAAACCCATCTTAATACCGTGCTGTTTTAGGCAGTAAAATCTGATTGGTTAACTATTTTTCATTAACTACGTGTAAAGACACAAGTGAAGAAAAGTGTTTTAAGAGATAATTACCACTTTCAATCATATCCTTGATGACATCTCTAGCATGAACATCAATAGTAACCAAGGCACCCAGTGTAGTCCTTGTTTGCTTTGACAGTTTTCCTCTTACCAGCTCTACAATATCATTAAGTTGAAGCTGAAGGGTATCATAATAACCCTTTAAACCCTAGGAGAGAAAAGGTAATTTTGAAACATCACAGTTTCGAGTGTTCCAGACTTTTTCATGTTGACTAAATATTTTAACAGCAGTTGCTTATTAACCTATTATTTTCAATTGTCATGTTTTTGCATCAACTTCTCTTTCATTTACAGTTATGCATCCATGTTGCAAAGCTACATTTTAATCTATGCTTGCTCTAAACAAGAATACTTGAATAAAGGGTACAAGTACTTGAATGAAAGCATAAATCACTGTACATAAATTCCTATATGTCAAACACATATACTTGCAGTTTTTCAAATTTTATTTTGACTGTAGAAAAATACTTGATTAAACAAAATAGATCAGCTGAAATGCAACATTAAGAAAGATTTTTAAAAATTTAAGAATTACAGCACCTCAGATCCACTGCGAAGAACTTCATGTACCCCACTTGTCCAGTACATCTGAGACACACACAGCACGACTTGTCCCGGCCACTCCAGAACCCACCGCTTCCTCTCAGTCTCTAGATATGCCTGAAAGAGTTAAATACAGTATACACACATACAGATGTCAACTCCTGTGCTGAGGACAAATTTTAGAAAGCCAAGAAACAGTCATAAAATAAAGGTAGATGTTACAGTTATTTAATGATCACAAACCCCATACCATTCTTGATTTGTCAATGACATCACGTATAGTCTTCAGCATAATGTCTTCTACTTGAATTAACCACTTCTCCACTGCACCTCGAGCTTCAGAAGTGGAAATGTTTGAAATCAGTTGTACGCGCTCGCCTTCGGAACTGCACATTCCTTTAATATCCAAATTGCGAAGGAAATCCAGCTTAGCAATGCCTTCGAAACACTTCTTCAAGTGAGGTTGAACTCTGAGAGGATCCTTAGTCTCTGACAGGATCTCCAGCATTTCATCATTAGACAAGAAAAAGAAGCTAAAAGAAAAAAAAAAGAAAAAAGAGAACTGCATTATCAAGTTACTTTGAAGGCTGACCCTATTCATGACAAAATAAACGTTCAGTATCTGTATTTTTCAAGCAGCCCAAACTCATCCTACCGGGGAAAGAAGAGACGTTTTTTCTCAAGGTAAGCATTAAGCCCTTTCATGATTTTGTCCAGAAGCTCATTACTGGTTTGAAGCTTCTCTGATAACCCTGGCAAGGAAGTAGCAACAAGAACCTGTAACAAACACATGCAAACTGTCAGTTAAACAAAATACTTCAAACAATAGAGGTTAATCAAATAAACAACAATGTGACTTTGTTCCTAGAAAGATCAGGCAACTGATGCTGTAGTTCACTGTATATGTTCTGAAAACAAAGCATCCCCACCCAAAAGAAAAAGTGAGAGAAGCTCCTGTTTCCTGTTAGTAATGTGAATTTATTTCCCTTACCTTTGGGTCTTCAGCACAAAATTTCATTATCTCTCTCCAGAATCTATCCACAGTCTGGAAATGTCTCCCCTCTTCTGGCATCTGTTGCATAATATCCTCAGAGGAAAAAATGGGTTCCAAATAAAGCCATTGTGCTTGTACCTTCAGCCAATCATCAATATTCTCCTGAATTTGAATCAAGCGACTTTCCCATTCCTTAATAAATATTTAAAGAATGTTACCTTGATATTTCCAAGCAAATAATGTTAGAGACAATAAATTCAAGAAAGGTAGACACTGGGGCATTCTAGCTCCCAAAGAGAAAAAATAATCATCTAACAATAAACTAAATAAAATAAAAATATTTAGGAGTACTTAGGTTCTTTCACATATACAAAAGCCAAAGGAACTCAGCACTTTTACCTACTTGGAAGCAAATTTTCCAAAATGTTATCACTTTAGTGCTATCAACTTTGACCATCTTAAAGGTCAAGCAATACCCAGGACGCTACCAGTGACAAATTCTGTTCCATCTCCTCCCAGCAGGGAGCTCTTGCAGTTGCATTACAGCAGGAACACAAGGATTCCAGAAAGGCCACATTAATCACAGCAAAGATCCAGCCAGTCCAGTATCCTTTTCCTAAAGGGGACAGTAGCAGATATCTCTGTATCTGCTATCTGTTGGGATAAATACTGCCCAGGGACACTGAGCCTGCTCGAGCCTGAAGATTTCCTACACAAACCAACAATGAACTAGGGAGGGTAACTGCAAAGCAGTTCCAGCAGCTTCTCTCCTGTCACTAGGCATGGTATTAGCACCACAAAAACTGCTCTAGCCCTGAAAATACAAACAAAGGGGTGAAGTGCTCCCATAATTTTTCTGAGGCCTGATTAAAAAACCTTCTCACAGCCATTAAGAAGTTTCCTTGCTCGGGAAAAAAAAAAAAAACTGAGTCTGAAACTAAATTACTAAATGTTCTTATTACCAATAAGAGAAACATAATTTCCAGTTTTTAAGAAGCAAGGTTAAAGACACTAATGGAAATGGTGATTTCATAAAAAATGTGAAAAAATAATCACATTCTCTTGTTGCACTTGGATCTGAGTGGAAAAGGGAACTCCAAGACAGACATAAGATAAGTATGACTCGTATAAACTCAAAAATTCTTGCTGGAAAATCAGTGAGAGCATTTAATTCACAACTCAAACAATAAAGTTGTAATAAAAATGGTAGACTCCTGCACAATAGTTATCCTACAAATAAAAATGATTGAAAAAATGCTGATTGTACCTTAATTTCTTTGTCAAATGGTTTAATGAAAGGTGATCCTCTCATTGTCTGAGTTTTCATAATCTGATCATCAAGAAGAGCCTGAATATCATCCACTGAAGACAGAATGTGAATACCAGTCTCACGATACAAGTTTGTACTGAAGGAAATCGAATCCCAGACTTCCATCATGGTATGCATTGCTTTCTCCAAGGAAAATTCCTATTAAAAAAAAAAAAAAGAGTTTGGTGTAGTCACTGAATTGTTTTTTTCTAACTCATTAATTCCATATACAAGCTTATCTAGCTGCATAAGCTCTTTTTTCTAACAGCACAAGTTAGTTATTACTTTTCCTCAGTATATCATTTTCTAGCACACAGAAAGCAGGACACTTGGGAAATACCAACAATGTAATATAAGATACAAATGTTTACATGAACAACATTATCTTCTAATCATCATCTTATCATCTAATAGATCATCTAATCACCTAAGTCTCACCAAATTTCTTTTGCTGCCTAAGGGCAAAGACAAAAAATTCTAGTAAGTCATAAAATATTCACTAAGAGACCAGATGTCATACTTGTCAATATCAAATCTCTGTGCTTACCTTGCTTGCACCCACACTTATAGTTGTAAACTCTTCCAAATAAGGGCCCAGGTTCTGCTTTAAAATTTTTCTCAGGGTAGTTCCAGCATCTGGGGTTAAATCATATCCTACTATATTTGACATCCGTTCCCAATGACGATCCCTCATGCCAGGGTTACAAAAGACAGACACAGTGGGAATATTCTCCTAATTCCAAAAAGACATTTTTAAGGTAAAAATTATCATTTGAACAATTTCTTAATTTTTTAATAATCTCTGATGTGCATTTAAAATTCTGCTGTAGTAGTTGATGACATAAGAATCTTTTCTGAAAAGTGCAGATTGCTCCATTCAGTTATCCACTCCATTTCTAAATAATTATATTAGTTACTGAAGAGGAAGTATACAACTATTAAGCACAGTCTTAGAAGAAAAGAGAAAATGAACAGTTTTTCAGCTATATTATGGTAATTTTTGTTTTCATGAATAGTTATTTCAAAATTTCCAACTACATCCTTAAATGTTTCTTTACACCCCAATTCTCCTGTAAGTGTTCGCTCATTAACAATTCATATTACTAAAACTATAAAAAATCCCAAATCAATTTTATTAAAATGAATGAGACAGTACAATCTGGAACTGGTGATTCAGAGTGTGCTCCATCTTTCTTTCTCTCTCTCTGTCTAATAATGTGTGTCTGACACTGCATCATCTACCTGTACTGAGAACTGAATTTAGCATTTGTCCCTCAGCATCAGATATCAATATCCCTCACTTTTTCTTACCTTAAAGTCTTTAACCTGCTCTAGAACTGAGGAACACATTGTAAGAGTTGTATTAGCCTTTATTGCTTTTACTGTCTTCACTTCTTCTTTGGGTCGTGGTGCCTTTTTCCTGTCCTGTGGCATTTTCTTCCTTTGTTGGAAGAGTTTTGTCGCCTTATATAGCTCTCTATAAAACTCATCCAGCTCAGCCTCCATACTTTCCCCATTTAGTTCCAAAAAGGTACCGTCCATCCATCTGAGAAAAAATACAGGGTTAGAAAACAGAATAACAAACGCATCCCACAAATACCTAACTCTTTGTTTTGCAACACAAACAAGGTGTACATTAATAGCTATTTAAATTAAAGCAAAGATCTTCTTTCCAATTATTGTCATTCTGTGTAAAATTCCAATACACAGTTAAATCACACTCTTCTATGTATTTGTGCAATTCTCTCAAGTCAGTCACACACTGAAACTGAGTAACTGCATGAACTGAGAAATATTTAAATTAACCTCTGGATAGAGACCAACACATGACATTTAAAAATACACTAGGTCTTGTATTTTCAAAATCCAACACAAACAGGAACAGCTTGAGCATTTTCCTCACTCTCCCTCATTAGAGCTGAATTACCTTTTTTCTGTTCGCTGCCATTTCAGTATAAGATTAAAGAGTTTCTGATATGGCTCTATCTCAGCTTTTATGTTGTTGAGGACTGGGAAGTCACTCGGTTTCCATCCAAGCAGAATCTCTTCATTGTTAATAAGAGCTACTGTTTCTTCAGTGTCCTGTATGGTTTTCTGTAATGTCCTCACATCAGCCACATACTGAAATCAAATAACATATGACTGGAGAGAGAACTGAATTATGCTCTGAACAGCTATCAAAATAAGATATCAAAATATAATACCTTCATATTAAAAGTTTAGAAAATGTGTGTTGAAAAAACTTTTCTACCTATCCTTGAGTAAATAGACCATGAAGAACCCGGATGAACATGATGGAAAGTAAAGTTGGTTTTCTCATTACTGAATTTTACAGTATTTTCAAAATATTTGAGCTTTAAAACTCGCTGTTCTGGGAGGCAGGTACACGCCTTTTTTTTTTTTCAGTTTTTCAATACATCAAAAATAGGAAAGGAAATTCTAATTTCCTTTCTAATTCCTCAAGTTATTTGCAAACAATATCACTATGGCCAGAATTCCATGCTTTATACAAGTGTATTAACCACTCGAAACATTTCTACCCTTTTTAAACTGCTGATCAAACCTGTTGCATGCAATCCAGTTCTGAATATTCTTCTAATTCTGCCACAGAATCTGCCAGCTTGTCTAATTCCTCCCGCAGGTTCTCACATTTCTGTAGTAGTTCTTGCTCTCTGACACTTTTAGACTGCTCAATCAGCTACAAAACAATTGATTTTTTTAAAATTAAAAAAAAAGCATTGAAAAGATGTTTAATCCTTTCAGTGCTTAACATACACAGTACCATCTACACACTTAGTGCAAAGGCCTCCTTCAGCAATCAGACAAAAGATGGGAAAGCATTACTGAAAAAAAAAGACAGAGAGAGGTTCTCATCTTTGGGATTCAGTATTTTACTGCTGAAAAGAACACCTACAGTTGTTGACAGCCAGTGCTATCCCACATGTACCTACTGCTGCAAAAGGCAGGAATTCTAGAACACCAGAGCAGTGTAAAGCACGGGGTCTGCACACAGAAGGGTTAGTTTTAAGGTACCAAACAAGAAATCAATCCAGGGAGAGGAGATCTCTTAGGACAAGTACACCAACCACCAGGCAAAATTGGGAAGCAAACAAACAGAACTTCTCCAAAGGAGGAACCACTCTTTTCCTTTTGCATTAGAATAACTCAGATATGAGAGCATAAAATGCAAATATATAGAGACTCATGAAAACTTGATGTGAAGCTGTTCTTGTCTTCAAGCTCTAGCACATTCCAGGCACTCAGTCTTATTAAGGGCCTGGCAGTTACATTTTCAGTACTAGACAAGTGCAGTGTAGTGAATTCTCACCTTCCTATGTATTACCTACTACTGACCACAAACAAACCAGGATAATGAGATTCACTAAAGCTTTTCAGTTACAGTGACAGTTGAAAAATTTATCCATAAAAAGTCCTCTGTTGTTATAAAAATCTGGAAATACGTTATTTACACGTCTAAATTAGTATGATTCATGTTATATGTGTATATACATTTAATGTGCTGAGGAAATAAATAGCTACAGTAAAGTGAGAAGTCTAAAAAGCCAAAATATACCATCAACTGAGAAAATTCTCTTACATCATCATGCTCTTTAAAAATGAGGTTCATCTTCTTCGGCCATATTATAGCTGTCGAAATTAGTTCAATGTCCTCAGGAGTAAATAAAAAAACATCGAACAAGTAACTCATTTGCTGACAGCACTCCTATTAAAAGAGAATTCATAAAGCTTTAGGTACCATAGGTCTGTTTAAAATATAGAGTAGGACAATATTATCTACAAAGATAAAATAGAAACCTATATCTCATGAACTTTCAGAATTCGGAGCTATTGCAGCAATATTAACTTTTGAAATATATGTATGAAATGATTCAAATCCCTGCCTTGTTCATGAGCTTGTTTCTCTAAATATGACTCCTGTGGTCTGTAAGTCTATGTGCAAAAATCCCAATATTATTAAAAATATACAAAATATAATTTTTGCAGATTTAAACATAACATGCTATATTTATAGACCCACCACCATAACAGAAAATCTGACACATATTCACACACACAAAGTGCTGCTAATGTAACATCACCTACATTCTGCTCAAAGAGTAAACTGAGGTTTGTGTGCTCAAAATCATGACTTTTTTTTACACATAAAATGCTCTTTATGCTTGTCTGTTACATTTTAACAAATAGATTTTTAAGCAGCCCTGAAGTCTCCAGGTACAAACAATAAACTGTGTGCCTTACAATCTGCCACGATTTATTAAAAGCTACATTTCCTCCCTGGCATGCAGAACATATGGGAATAGGAATGAGAAGCAAAGGCACATGGCAAAGAATGAGCTGGACTTCTCACTTCTGTCTGAAGTAAAAGTGAGATTATTCATACATGCAGCATGATCAGAAGACTCTGCAGTCCAGAATGAATTCTCTGTTTATATAGGCCAGCATGTCTGACACAAGCTTAAAAATGAAAGGATACTTACCTTGCTTCTTAGCACCAGGTCTGGAATATCTTTGGTTTTGGCCTGTTTTATGTAATCTATTGTTTCCACCATTTCTTCTGTTGTCTCAGGAACTTTTAATGCACGTTCCTTAATGGTTTCAAATTCCCTGCATATCCTGTAGATTTGTTTTACATAAAGTAATTTTAAGATTTTACTTTGACTGGTTTCAAGCTCAGCTTTAATGGAGTTAAAAGTTTAAATTACTTCTTTAAGTATTACCCACGCACAAACTCCTTTCTGAAACTTAAAAGGGAAGATGATCGAGTCAGTTTAAAAAAATACTGTTTCCTGACTTGCAATAATTGCTTTGTTTGGGTTTTGGGGTGTTCTTCTGTAATAAATGCTTTGGTTACCTATCACTAGGAAATGAACTTTAGAAAACTATCGTTAATGTACACATAGACACTTTCCTAGTAAATATTTTGTCATTTTGGTAATGTGGAATCACTATAAAACTTGATCAAAGTATTTCATAAGAGTTTACTCCTTTCTTAGTCAATATCTGCAAATTAACCTCCTAAATTGACATCTTATGCTAAGTTCACCCATGCAGAGGATGAAGGGAAGGTGGGGGGTATAATTTTTCTTGATTTTAGTAAGGCTTTTGATATTGTCCCTCACAGAATCCTTCTAGACAAGTTATCCAGCTGTGGGGTGAGTGGGTTCATGGTGTGCTGGATGAAGAACTGACCAAAGTGGTAAATGGGGCCAAATCTGGCTGGCAACTGTTACCAGCAGTGTTTGTCAGGGTGCACTTCTGGGGCCAGTTTTGTTCAATATATTTACCACTGATTTGGCTGCAGGAGTTGAATGCACCATTACCAAGTTTGCTGATGATAGAACTGCAAGGTGTTGCTGACTCTCATGAAGGATGAGAGTCATTGCAGAGGCAATCTAGAAAGATTGATGCATTTGACTATGATCAGTGGGATGAAATTTAATGAGTTGGAATGGCAGTTTCTGTACTGAGGATGGAGTAATAAAGGGGAGGAGTGGCCTGAGAGCAGCCCTGCGGAGGTATCTGTCATGAAATAAGAGAGTCTAACTAGTCTTTCCTTTGACAGTGCAGTAATACTGTAGTTCACATTAAAAAATCCAGAACAGTAGTGAAGTCCTTTGATCTTTTAGCTCCTCCATGATCCAAGTCCTTCAGTATGTTCTCTTACCCATTTCTGAGATTAAAATGTTAGAAAAATCCAACAACTGGTGCAAGCTGCATGACATCATTATTTAGCCAAGAGCCTTCATTAAACAAAAGTATGGTATATTTACATTTCTTCTACATGTTTCTACTATGCATTTAACACATACAGCATCCACAAGCAGAAAAATTCTACTTACTTTTCATTTTCCTCTCTGTAATTTGCAACAATTTTGTCCATTAGCATTTTTGCAAAGCTGTTTGCACGATTAGCCAAACCTTGCTTTAAATCCTCACAATTCAAACAGATCATAGGGAAATAAAACATCTCTGGCAAACTCATGATTTCCTTCTTGAGGGTGAAGAATTCATCTATGAACTTCAGAAAAACATGAGGCTTTACACTTCAGAGCTGTTGTTTAAGTACTTGGCTACATGAGTAAGTATTAGGCATTGAAGAAAATAAATAATATTTTCTTCTATTTACCACAGATTTTTTAGGGGAAAAATCACTTATGGTGTACATTTATAGGTAGTCCACATTACTTTTAGATAAAGGCTAAGCACTTGTTATTCTTTGTTCCCCTTTTTATGATTGCTGTATGTACAGCAAAAATGTAGAATCAAAACTTACAGTGGTATATTCATCAAAACTGTGTTGTTCTGCTTCAAATCTTTCTATCTGTGCCTCTGCAGTTCCATCTACAAGCCAGCCATACTTTTCAACTACAATTCAATTACAATGCATTATTATTATTAAAATGACAGCAAGTTACTCATTACAAAGAAGTGACAACAGTTCCTTGCCCACTCTTCTATCACTCACCGTAGCTTTCAAAATGTTCCTTCGGGCCTTCTAAGTTGTCTCTGATGGATTTTCTCAGAGTGGATGTGGCCCATTGTATGACATGGTTAGGAAGCTCAGCAGCCACAGTTGCAGTGCCCCCCGTTAGCCAAGAACGGATCGTGGGGACGTTCTAATGGAAGGGCAAGTTTTGATTATTTACATTTTAAAAAGCAATGCAAGGGCACATATATTTCAAAACTAAGTTGCAATCTGTAGAAGACACTATCAGAAAAGTATGAGACCCTAATCATGATCAAGGTGCTTCTTACACATGTAGAATGACTCTTCCTGATGCAAAAAGATGAACAGGAAACGTGTAAAAGGGAAAAAAATCCCAACAACTATCCAACCTTACATGCAATTAAATTACATCATATTTGCAAATAAACAAAACCAAGCCCAAAACACTTCTCTGAAAGTACCATCATGTATGACTGAAAACACTACTCAGTTCACAGGGATACATCCAAAGCCTCCAGGAAGGCTCTCTTCCCTGGAATCACAGAGAGGTTCCCGAGACATCAATCTCTCAATATTGTATGTATTAGTTTTTAGAGATTTGAGGGTTTTCTTTTTCTTAAAGAGAAAAGGAACGTCAACACTAATTTTCCTTGTCTTTCTCTGGGGATCTTAAACATTAATGCAAGTTTACTGTAAATCATCACACATATAATTAAGGTTATTATCATTGCAGATCCAAACAGCAGGCTGAAACAATCAGTGGTACATGCACCAATTTTTTATGAACAAGGAATTACAAAATGAGTTTCAGAGTCTGGAGTGCTGCTGGACACCAAGATTCATGGTGTCACCTGTAGAATGCTTGTGGAAAATAAATACCACAAGTTGCACTCTGCTCCCATTGCCCTGGCAGTCAGACTCCTAAATCACTAATATTTTCATATATTCAGCAACTTAACAATTACATACTTAAATAAAGATAAAAGCACACCTGGAGAGTCTCTCCTATACAATCTACTACAAACAAAACTGATTCTTCTAAGTCTTTAAAGCTTGGATAAAACTCAATATTATTTTCTTCAAGAGTCAAGTCCATCTTAAATAAAGGCAGATGACTTCTGTCTTCAGGATCAAAAAGTTTCACAAAAGCTTCAGTGGTTCTTCCCAGTAATTCTTTCAGCTAGGTAATAACACAGATTACCTATTAGTTGACAGAACAAAGGCCCACCCCACTTTCCATTCAAGCAGTAAGACAGGATTTCCCTTCATTTTAGTACTTCTGGTCTGATTCATGGATAATTGAAACAGGGTGACTTTCTCTAATAACTCCAGTGAGTATTATCCCAACCCTTCAAGGATGCAAACCAATGAACAAATAAACATTTCAGTAAAGCCCATGTGCTTTTCTTTTGCTACAACATTAAGTTTATTACTAATAAATGCTTTCAGTAAAAATGAAATATCTGGAAAGCATTTTCCTCTGAGGTTTTATAAATTATAATTATTTGATTAGACTACTGTTCCATTATTTTTCTACAAAGTAAGTAGTGGTTTAATCCCATTAAGGTTATAATGGAGGGGAAAGTTACTTACCTGATTAGACATAAGCATAGCCACACAGTTATAGAAAGAGTCAACCTGATCCAGCTTTACACCATCCAAGGCCTCCTTCTGAGTAAAGAGGTTGACAACTCTTTGATACCATGTACTCATTATGTCTTCTTCTGCTTTTGAACAGCTCAGAGATGCATCAGTTCTAAAAGATCTATAGTCAGTTGGTCCTTTTGATCTAGAAAAGAAAGTTATAGGTAACTTTATAAACAAAATTAAAAAAAAACACAAACAAACATGGAGTAAAGTAATGAGTAAATATTGTATTACAAACCCATTCTTTGTTTTAGCAGAAAGCACAGTGGGAACCTAAACATCATTTCAATAGACTATGGGAAGTAAAAAAATACCCCAAAGTCTGGGAAATATAGAAGAGCTACCAGAAAAAATAATGAGGAAAATATAGTGAAAATTATCTTTTTGAAAACAGTGAAAATTTGGAATTCCAAGATTGAACATAAAATCCAACTGATGAAAACAAGGAAGAAATCTGATCTTCAAGGTTAGCATGAGAAGCTGATTTTTTAAATGCTACTTTAAATAGATTTGACTGGGGATCACAGCATTAGGAATAAGTAAATAATGAGGAGACCTTTACAGAATCAAAGGCAAAATATAAATCTAAAGGGCTGATACTACCAGCAACTTAAACATTGGTAAAATATGTAATAGAAAGTGGAAAAGTCATGTGTCATATGTGTCATAACACAAAGTAACTTACTCAAAGTACATTAAATGACACAAAGAACTTTGTGATATAAACTTCCCTATGATAAATAATAGAATTGAACAAACTCATCTTTGCCAGTTTCTAAAACCTATATGGGTTAATAATTCAGAAGAACAGATTTTACCTGGAACTAGAGAAATCCACTACAAGGAAGGAAGAGAATGCTGCATAACCAAAATCCAGTAGAGTTTTCATTGTGGGGTGGACAGTGTGCAAGGTGGAATGGATTTGATTTTTTGCTTTGATAAAGCTCTTACGCCATGAACTAGAAAAATCCAGGCCTCTGAAAAAAACCCACCAAAACCCAACCAAAACAAACAAACAAACAAAAATTAAGAGCTCAAGAAATAGCTTAATAAAATATTCTTTTATATAAAAAGTAGTATTTAAAAGCTTACTCCCTAACACAAATAGTTCTTTAAATGCCCCTATGTAAATATCCTCACTATGACACGGTAGAAGTTATAAAGATACTGTCTGACCAAACGTGTTTTATCCTCATGGTATTTTCACATCACCTGCTCTTCCAGAAGTTCTTTAGATGTAAACTCCTAACTTCACCACCTGCTATCAGGAAGCCTTTCTATCATTACTTTGAGAACACACATTCTGATGCTCCAGTAAATTGCACAGTTCAGGTATTTATACTCTACCTGAATTCCTCTTCTGTTTTGGCAGAGCATTAATGGGTTTGCCCTCGGTCTCAAGGTTTCATCTCATAACACCAAAGTCCCAAGAACCCTTGGCACCACAGGCAGTTGCAGCATGTCAAAGCAGTGTGCAGTGCTGCTGTCTGCCAGAGAACTGCCCTGTGCACACCCCCCATTCCACAGGCAGTTGCAATCTGACTTGAGCATCTGGGCACTCGCAGCCAGAAGTTTCATTTGCAAACATTAGTGCTGCTCTGTGTAACTGTAACAACAGTAATAAAACACTGTCAGTGCAGAAACTTTGTGGAGCATTCATACAAGAGGTGTTGAAACACAAGATCCTCTTCAGATAGAAAATTTGTCACATTAAGGGACTCCAGAATTAACAATGTGCCCTAACTCTATCCACGCAGCTCAACAAGAATTTCACTTGTGCAACTCAGTGTATTTTGCCCATGAGTTATTTGCTAACTTAGTCCACTCACAGGGGTAACAAAGGCAAAGGTGCCTCCTCTTCCTCTTCAAGTCCTTCTACATCTGGTTTAATAAGAGCTCTTCGCACTAAGAGAAAAACCCAAAAAACATGAACCTTAGAAGAAAATGATGCCATACTCAACAGGAACTGCACTTCCTTGGTCTTTCTCCAGGTTGAAACAAGAACGCAGGAGGATGAAAAGGTAACTGTGTCACCCTAGTCTTCAAAACACATTCTCCCTAAGGTAACTCAAAATCACTCCTTCTGCTAAATATCTGTACAGATTCAGGTGGCGTAACTCCAGTTCTGTCCTCTGTTCGTGAAGGTTTTCAGGTTCATGTTTAAATAATTAAATACTTTCTTAGGCAATTTCTTCTCTGAGGGATGGCTGGTAGTGGGATCAGGCTGCCCAGGGAAGGGGTCATGGCACCAAGACTTTTGAGGAGCACCTGGACAGTGCTCTTAGTTGTATGGTTTAGTTTTAGGCAGTCCTGAACGGAGTAGGGAGTCAGATTCTGATCCTTATGGGCCCCTTCCAAACTGAGATATTCCATGACTGCAAGAATTAATGGCAACTTTGTTTAACAAAATTACAGTGAGATACTATAACTATCCCACTGATGACACTACAAAGAAATTAGTCCCATGATAAATTATGTATTTTTAATCTGCGTTTTTTAAAATAACAGCCATCCACTAAAAATACTGACAAAATCTGGCTCAATTTCAGACTTTGGATACTACAAATATAAATAAAAAAGAAATTAATTCCTAATTTCAAGAGAAAACACTTAATATTCCAGTTCATGAACCTTTCTAAGAGGTTTTAAAACTGAAGTGAGTTTCAGTGATATCTGATAACAGTAATTATGTTTGCAGATTTTTATTGCAAGCTTCCTCCTGCATCAAAACTACCATAAAAAAAATTATGGATGTGTTCATGAATGAACAGCTTAAAAAAATCTTCTGTTCCTGAAGAGGGACAAAGAATCACTAGTACAGAAAAAGTTTCTACTTTTTTTAAACAGCAAACAGCAATACATTCTTGCAGTAAATTAACTAAACAGGTTAAAGACTTAATGAAATAATGTCATCAGCACTCAACCTTTCTGACATGAAGTCTAGAGCTGCCTGTCTTTGCTTGAACTGTACCTTCAGCTGGTTAACTTTTTCCTGGTCTGAATAAATTAAGCAAGTTCTGCCTTAAGCATCACAGCCAACACACATTTGATGAGGCAGAGAAAGATAAATCATTAGTTAATTATAAAGATCATGCCTGGCTGAAAGAACAAACTAGAAAAAATATTTTCAGTGAGAGAACAAGAAACAGCTTATATCTACTAACACTAAATATTGAGTAATTTGGGGTACTTACACACACATCTTTTCATGCTCTTTTCATAATCCCTTACTATCTCCCCTAAGAGCTCTTGAGTGAGCAGCTCTCTGTCTTTGCCCTCCATAAGCGACCGCGGCACCAGGGCGAGCATGGACCTGAGCCACTGCTGCTGGATGGGAACCACCGGATTGCTCTGCACACGTTGCTTCATGTAGAGGTAATCTGCCTGAAAGGACAATATTGTCACAGCTCTAACAACTGGCTATGTCAATATTTTTGTGTTAAGCTTGACAAAAGTCTCTTTTTATTCACAGGTTTTTATCCTTAAGGGCGGGCGATTTAATCTAACCTTTGCAGTATTCACTGACTAATGCACTGAAAGCCACTCTCTGGTTGGTAAAAGGGTCTCTCTGTCTTGATGTTTAAATACAAAATACTGTACTTGTTAGTATGGCATTTTCCTTGGTTTTCTGCTGAAGTTTATGGCTGACAATAAAGCAGTTCAAGGTTAAGGTTATTGTTCTTCAGACAAACATTTATCTGTCAAAAAAGTGGGGACAAACATCCCCCACAAGGGGAGTGGGTCTTGGCCAAAGAAATAGGTATTTCTGATTGACAGCTTTGTTATATATAAAAAAAAGGGATCTGAATCTCTACATCTACAGAATGAGTTTACCTAACACAAGCTAGGAAAAATTGGTGCTACCTTAAGCTACATAATATAAATATTTNAAAAAAAAAAAATACCAAACATGGAGTAAAGTAACGAGTAAATACTGTATTACAAACCCATTCTTTGTTTTAGCAGAAAGCACAGTGGGAACCTAAACATCATTTCAATAGACTATGGGAAGTAAAAAAATATCCCAAAGTCTGAGAAATATAGAAGAGCTACCAGAAAAAATAATGAGGAAAATATAGTGAAAATTATCTTTTTGAAAACAGTGAAAATTTGGAATTCCAAGATTGAACATAAAATCCAACTGATGAAAACAAGGAAGAAATCTGATCTTCAAGGTTAGCATGAGAAGCTGATTTTTTAAATGCTACTTTAAACAGATTTGTCTGGGGATCACAGCATTAGGAATAAGTAAATAATGAGGAGACCTTTACAGAATCAAAGGCAAAATATAAATCTAAAGGGCTGATACTATCAGCAACTTAAGCATTGGTAAAATATGTAATAGAAAGTGGAAAAGTCATGTGTCATATGTGTCAGAACACAAAGTAACTTACTCAAAGTACATTAAATGACACAAAGAACTTTGTTATATAAACTTCCCTATGATAAATAATAGAATTGAACAAACTCATCTTTGCCAGTTTCTAAAACCTATATGGGTTAATAATTCAGAAGAACAGATTTTACCTGGAACTAGAGAAATCCACTACAAGGAAGGAAGAGAATGCTGCATAACCAAAATCCAGTAGAGTTTTCATTGTGGGGTGGACAGTGTGCAAGGTGGAACTGATTTGATTTTTTGCTTTGATAAAGCTCTTATGCCATGAACTAGAAAAATCCAGGCCTCTGAAAAAAAACCCACCAAAACCCAACCAAAACACACAAACAAACAAAAATTAAGAGCTCAAGAAATAGCTTAATAAAATATTCTTTTATATAAAAAGTAGTATTTAAAAGCTTACTCCCTAACACAAATAGTTCTTTAAATGCCCCTATGTAAATATCCTCACTATGACAGGGTGGAAGTTATAAAGATACTGTCTGACCAAATGTGTTTTATCCTCATGGTATTTTCACATCACCTGCTCTTCCAGAAGTTCTTTAGATGTAAACTCCTAACTTCACCACCTGCTATCAGGAAGCCTTTCTATCATTACTTTGAGAGCACACATTCTGATGCTCCAGCAAATTGCACAGTTCAGGTATTTATACTCTACCTGAATTCCTCTTCTGTTTTGGCAGAGCATTAATGGGTTTGCCCTCGGTCTCAAGGTTTCATCTCATAACACCGAAGTCCCAAGAACCCTTGGCACCACAGGCAGTTGCAGCATGTCAAAGCAGTGTGCAGTGCTGCTGTCTGCCAGAGAACTGCCCTGTGCACACCCCCCATTCCACAGGCAGTTGCAATCTGACTTGAGCATCTGGGCACTCGCAGCCAGAAGTTTCATTTACAAACATTAGTGCTGCTCTGTGTAACTGTAACAACAGTAATAAAACACTGTCAGTGCAGAAACTTTGTGGAGCATTCATACAAGAGGTGTTGAAACACAAGATCCTCTTCAGATAGAAACTTTGTCACATTAAGGGACTCCAGAATTAACAATGTGCCCTAACTCTATCCACGCAGCTCAACAAGAATTTCACTTGTGCAACTCAGTGTGTTTTGCCCATGAGTTATTTGCTAACTTAGTCCACTCACAGGGGTAACAAAGGCAAAGGTGCCTCCTCTTCCTCTTCAAGTCCTTCTACATCTGGTTTAATAAGAGCTCTTCGCACTAAGAAAAAAACCCAAAAAACATGAACCTTAGAAGAAAATGATGCCATACTCAACAAGAACTGCACTTCCTTGGTCTTTCTCCAGGTTGAAACAAGAACGCAGGAGGATGAAAAGGTAACTGTGTCACCCTAGTCTTCAAAACACATTCTCCCTAAGGTAACTCAAAATCACTCCTTCTGCTAAATATCTGTACAGATTCAGGTGGCGTAACTCCAGTTCTGTCCTCTGTTCGTGAAGGTTTTCAGGTTCATGTTTAAATAATTAAATACTTTCTTAGGCAATTTCTTCTCTGAGGGATGGCTGGTAGTGGGATCAGGCTGCCCAGGGAAGTGGTCATGGCACCAAGACGTTTGAGGAGCACCTGGACAGTGCTCTTAGTTGTATGGTTTAGTTTTAGGCAGTCCTGAACGGAGTAGGGAGTCAGATTCTGATCCTTATGGGCCCCTTCCAAACTGAGATATTCCATGACTGCAAGAATTAATGGCAACTTTGTTTAACAAAATTACAGTGAGATACTATAACTATCCCACTGATGACACTACAAAGAAATTAGTCCCATGATAAATTATGTACTTTTAATCTGCGTTTTTTAAAATAACAGCCATCCACTAAAAATATTGACAAAATTTGGCTCAATTTCAGACTTTGGATACTACAAATACAAATAAAAAAGAAATTAATTCATAATTTCAAGAGAAAATACTTAATATTCCAGTTCATGAACCTTTCTAAAAGGTTTTAAAACTGAAGTGAGTTTCAGTGATATCTGATAACAGTAATTATGTTTGCAGATTTTTATTGCAAGCTTCCTCCTGCATCAAAACTACCATAAAAAAAATTATGGATGTGTTCATGAATGAACAGCTTAAAAAAATCTTCTGTTCCTGAAGAGGGACAAAGAATCACTAGTACAGAAAAAGTTTCTACTTTTTTTAAACAGCAAACAGCGATACATTCTTGCAGCAAATTAACTAAACAGGTTAAAGACTTAATGAAATAATGTCATCAGCACTCAACCTTTCTGACATGAAGTCTAGAGCTGCCTGTCTTTGCTTGAACTGTACCTTCAGCTGGTTAACTTTTTCCTGGTCTGAATAAATTAAGCAAGTTCTGCCTTAAGCATCACAGCCAACACACATTTGATGAGGCAGAGAAAGATAAATCATTAGTTAATTACAAAGATCATGCCTGGCTGAAAGAACAAACTAGAAAAAATATTTTCAGTGAGAGAACAAGAAACAGCTTATAATATATCTACTAACACTAAATATTGAGTAATTTGGGGTACTTACACACACATCTTTTCATGCTCTTTTCATAATCCCTTACTATCTCCCCTAAGAGCTCTTGAGTGAGCAGCTCTCTATCTTTGCCCTCCATAAGCGACCGCGGCACCAGGGCGAGCATGGACCTGAGCCACTGCTGCTGGATGGGAACCACCGGATTGCTCTGCACACGTTGCTTCATGTAGAGGTAATCTGCCTGAAAGGACAATATTGTCACAGCTCTAACAACTGGCTATGTCAATATTTTTGTGTTAGGCTTGACAAAAGTCTCTTTTTATTCACAGGTTTTTATCCTTAAGGGCGGGCGATTTAATCTAACCTTTGCAGTATTCACTGACTAATGCACTGAAAGCCACTCTCTGGTTGGTAAAAGGGTCTCTCTGTCTTGATGTTTAAATACAAAATACTGTACTTGTTAGTATGGCATTTTCCTTGGTTCTCTGCTGAAGTTTATGGCTGACAATAAAGCAGTTCAAGGTTAAGGTTATTGTTCTTCAGACAAACATTTATCTGTCAAAAAAGTGGGGACAAACATCCCCCACAAGGGGAGTGGGTCTTGGCCAAAGAAATAGGTATTTCTGATTGACAGCTTTGTTATATATAAAAAAAAGGGATCTGAATCTCTACA